TCCTAGTACAGCTAACATAAAATAGCCATGTGTGCTTATTCCCAAAGTTCACCTGCCTTCCACAATAAGGAGCTACACAGAGCTCCCAGGAGGTGCTCAGCTCCTTGGTGTTTTGTGGCCTTTACTGAGAAGTTTCTTTTCCCTCTTTGCCTTGATATATTCCACCCCATCCTACTTTTAATGTATTCTCCATCCAAAGATCAACATCTCCCCCTGAAATAAAACAAAATGAATAAACAAACTAATAGAACCCACTGTTTCCTCATTTGTGTAGAAATAAGAAGAGTGTGAGGGGATCAAAGTGTAGTTTGTATATCCACATTGTGATATGTAATTGCACATCCCTTAAGAGCAATTAATTCTCTGGGATTGTGTGGTATATTGTCCTATGGACTGTTCTCCAAAAGGCAGTTACATTAACCTCCCTTATTCTCCACTGTCGTCTCCATACTGGCACAGCTCCTAACACAGAGTAGGTGCATAATATTTGTCCAGTAATCGAAAAGCAGTAGCCTTCTCCAATTCAGGGATTTGGGGGAATCTCCTATGATGACAGACAGAGCAAATTCTTTAGTTTGTATTGTTTCTGAATGGCTTCAGCACACCTCACACAATTGCATTTCTAAGCATCTGACTAATGAAATGAGCTTGGTGGGTCTCAGGCTGATGAGAAACACTGCAACCGCCTAAGTAGAATAGACCACTCAAATACTCTATTCTAAAGGGCCTTTCCTCCTTCCTCCGGAGCAGCTGATCTGGGGACTTGCAGAAGGGCAGATGGCATTGCTCTGCCACACTCTGGAAGTGTCTGTCTCAGTTCTATACCAAGAATGTCTGCTTCCCTCCACTCCTCAGTACAGCGAGCCCTCCTAAGCTGGGATACCAGTACTTAGAGCTCTGGCCTCCAAAGGAGCAGGGAGGCATGTTCTGCTCTCTGAATGACAGGAAACTGATTAGTTAGAACCCAGCAGTGTACACATCCTGGAGCAACATACCAATGGCAAGCTGTTGCTGGACCAGCAATGTGTCTTTATTTCCACATGTGAAATTTTTTAAAAATAGTGAAAAGAGCAGCCTGAATCTGCCTCAGGGTCTTAATTAAAGCCTTTATCATAGACACCTACCAGAAAGCACAAAATCTTTGGGTTGGCAAGACCTGGCTTTGAATCAAGGCTTCTCCATTTACTGATGCTGTCACCTAATATTCTCTAATAGCTCATATTTCAGAGGCAGTGTCTTTGCTTATAAAATGTCAAAAAGTAAATCTACATTATAGGCTGCTATGAAGATTTATCTTTCTCTTTTCACCCATCTTATTATCCCACTAGAGGTAGTACTCTTGTACACACATCGCAAAATGTCCACTTGCTGCCCAGGTGATTCTAATGCATACTGAAGATTTTTATAAACTTTGGTTAAATCAAAATCCAGACTGCACTGACTTGGTCACAGGCAAAAGTGGCCCCCCCTTATCTGGGGGATACATTCTAAGACCCCTTCTTCTTGTGATGATGTGAGATAATAAAATATCCACATAATGAGATGAAGTGAGGTGAATTCTGCAGGCACTGTGACATAGCATTAAGCTACTACTTCTAACATATCATCAGGCTACTAGTTTTGGCATAATGTCAAAAGGAGGATTGTCTGCTTCCAGACTACGGTTGACCACAGGTGACTCAAACTTTGGAAGACACAACTGCAGATAAGGAGTGGGACTATATTTCTTTCTTAATCTAGGAGTCACACCCCTTAAAACCTTTAAAACATCCTGTAGAATAATTTATGATCAAGATATTTAGGACCTTATATTTCAAAAAACTAGTTTAACAAATGGTTTATGCTGTAATTCCTCCCACAGAAAAGCCCTCACAGAATTTTGATATGAACATAAAATCATTTCATAAGGACAACATACACATTTATAATGTTAAATACAGCATTAACCAATATCGCACACATCTTGATGATGGTAATCCTAATATGCATTTGTCATTAATTATTTTATATTTACTTAGAGATATCCCTTTCCTACATTTTTCTAAGACACACAAATGTAAGTCCATTAGGCTTTGTAGCAAACTATTAGCATATTATGTGATGCCTCTTTGCAATGTTTAATATGATTATTATTTTAAAATAAGACTGGAGTTTGGGGAACTTAATGTTAATTATTTTCAATTTTACATTCATGTGGTTGCAGAAAGGACAGAATAAAGGATTTAGAGTTTCACTTGCACGAATGCCTGGCATACTTGCAGCTGGGAGAGGTCACCATCCCAGCATCAGGCCAAATCCAGGATCTATATATATAGGATTAGTAGACAAACAGTATGTTGATAACCAATGGACTCACAGCAGGTTAGCAGGACAGTAGGTCAGCAGGATAGTAAAACTGCAGTTTGGGGACTGAAACTAGGTCTAGGGCAGGGGAGCAGTGCTGGAGGAAGAGGAGGGGAGAGAAGAAAGAGAAATAGCAGCAACTACCATTTACTGATTTCTTGGTACCTTAATTACATTACCTCAGGCATAGGGGAGAGACACTATTAGCAATTCCTTTTTTACAGGAGAGGAACCTGGATCATATATATTAGCTAAGTTAAGAAGGAGAATAATGGTTAAATTTTTGTTTCTTGTTTTGTTTTTATTTTCACTTCCAGAGTAAACTCATCTCACTATACTAAGCTACAAACCCATCTCAATTTTAACAGAAGTAGGAGAAATGCATCTTCAAAGCATTAGGCAGATGCACTTATAAAACAAACAAAATATTAAGCAAAGGTTGCTTAATATTGCGATTATTTTTAGACTCGACAGCTAAAAGTGACTCTATAGATCCCCCAAGTGGGAAAATGGCTGACTATACATGGCATTTAAAGGACTGATTAAGACAGATATACAATAACAAATGAAGAGAACCTGGTTTCTTAAGGAACACTGCTGTTTAAGGGAGAAAGAGAAACCATTGTAATTTCTAGTTTTGGAATAATGAATGTTAGAAGTTGAATAAATATAAGTGAAAACAAATAATGAGCTTTGATATCTTCTATATTTCATAAATTCAAACCACATATTTATTTCACATTTTAATATATTTGGTATCAAGATAAGTCGTATAATAAATGGTTCCATGCAATCACTCTCAAAAAGGTGAAAATTGTCTGATTACAATGCTGAGTCTTTTCTCCCTGAGACTGATATCACAGAAAATGCCAGATAATAAGCTTCAAGAATTTCTCCCTCCACTGAAGCAAATACTGCATTCACAAGCAGAAGGGGATCGTTTGTTTTTTTTTTACAACTCTGCAATCTAAACAACAGTAATAAAAACTTAAAGCAACCACGGGTGTGCATAATGAAAGGAGAGGATTCTAAATTTTGGTAAGAAAGTGATGTGGGGATTTTAGTTACTCACCTATTATCCCTCACTCTACAACTCAACAGGAGCCACAGGAATATTGGATTGCATTTCCTGATGGCGTTTACTGATGCCGGAAGAGGCAACTTGGAACTTGTTATCAAGATATTGTGACTATGCACTTACTTGACTTATCTGGGAATCACCTGAGGGACCAGCACAGAGCCTGCTTTTGCTTTGCCCCTCTTGGCTGGGAGGAGCTTCCCAGGCTGACATCTATCAATCAAAACATATAAAGATATAACTACCTGGAACTGCCTGTGGAAAGGAACAACACAGATTTAAATTTTTCAGTTTCAAACACAAAATTACAAGGCATACAAAGAAACAGGAAAGGGAAGCCCACCCACAGGGGAAAAAAAATGGATAGAAACAACTCTGAGGAAGACCGGACATTGGACTTACTAGACAAAGACTTTAAATCAAAGGTCTTAAGAGCAAATGGAAACCATGAGAAATAAACTAAATCAGAACAGTGTACAAAAAAATAGAGTATAGATATAAAGAGACACAAATTAGAAAAAATGAACAAAATAAAATATGAAAAGTCAATAGCTGAAATGAAAAATTCACTAGAGTGATTCAACAGTAGATTTCAGCAGGAAGAAGAATGAGCAAACTTGAAGACAGGGCAATTAAAATTATTCAGTCTAAGAAGCAAGAAGAAAAAGAATGGAAAAAAAAAAAAGGACAAAGCCTGGGTTGCCTGTCAGATACCATTAAGTACAACAATGAATGCATTATGGGAGTTTCAGAAGGAGAAGAGAGAGAAAATGAGGCAAAAAGAATATTTAAACAAATAATGAGTGAAAAATCTCCCAAATTTGGTGAAATATATGAACATACACATTAAGGAATCTCAATGGATAACTACTAGAATAAATTCAAAGGATCCACACCAACACATCTTATAATCAACTATTGAAAGACAAAGACAGAGAGAAAATCTTGAAAGCAACAAGAAGCAATTGCTTACATAAAATGAATCCTAATTAAGATGAACAGCCAATTTCTCATCAGAAACCTTGGAAACCAGAAAGCGGATTTAAAGGTTTGAAAGGAAAAGAAATCAAGTAAGAATTCTTTAACTGACAAAATTAACCTTTGAAAATGGAGAAATAAAGACATTTCTAGTTAAACAAAATCTGAGGTCCTTCACTAGCAGTCCTTCATTGCAGGAGATGTTAAAAGAAATCCTTCAGGCTAAAATGAAATGACATTACACAATAACTAGAAGCCACATGAAAAAAATTAAGAATTCCAGTAATGGTAACTCCAATAGAAGTAAAAAGCTATTATTATTATTTTTTGGGGGGAGCTGTAACTACTCTTTTTTGTTTACCAAATGATTAAAAAAAAACAGATGCACAAAACAATAACTATAAATATACGTTAGTGGGCACACAATGTACAAAAAAATAATTTGTGACAATAATAATAAAAAGCAGAGGCAAAGTTGTATAGGGGAGACTTTGTATGTTACCGGGGTTAAGTTGGTTTGAATCCGAACTAAATAACTATAAATTCAGTATGTTATTTTAATACTAAAATAACCACAAAGAAAATAATTAAAAGATACAAGGTGCTCACTTTGGCACCACATACACTTAACTTAGAATGATACAGAGATTAGCATTGCTCCTGCACAGGGATGACATGCAAATTTTAAATAAAAAATGTTCCATATTAAAAAAAAGTACACATTATGCAAATAATAAAGCTAAAAAGAAAAAAGTAAACAGGATTGGCAGAATTAAGGAGCAAAAATTGACATAAAACATAGAAATTACATAGCCAAACAGCAGCATCAATTCCTTCTTTATTAGAAATCAGTACAAATGTGAATTGACTAACTCACCATTCACACAACACAGAAAGATTAAAAAACATGATACAACTATACGCTGTCCTCAGGAGACTCACTTTAGATCCAGAGGCACAAATAGATCAAAAGTGAAAAGATGAAATGAGATATTCTATGCAAAAAGTAGCCAAAAGAGAATTGCAGAGGCCGCGAAGCCCAAAATTATATAAAGAAAACATTGACAGAATTAAAGAAAGACAGTTCTACAGTAATAGTTGGAGACTTCAATAATTCACTTTTTATAATGATTAGGATAAATAGACAGAAGGTCAATAAGGAGGCAGATGAGTAAAACAACATTATAAAACGAATTAATCTTAACATATAGGGAACGCTCTGCTCCAAAACAGCAGAAGACACATTTTTCTCAAGTGGGTATGTGCACATGTAATAATCACTAGGATAGACCACATGTCAGACCATCAAAAAAGTCTGACTAAATTTTTAAAACTTGAAATCATGCAGAGTATCTTCTTTTACCACAACAGAATAAATCTAGACATCAATAACAAAGAAAATTAGAAAATTCACAAACATGTGCAGATTAAATAATACAGTCTTACATAAACAATGGATAAAGAAATCAAAAGGGAAATAAAAAATATGAATATGGATATGAATGAAATTTGTTTTAAGTGCCAAAACTTATGAAAAGTAATGACCCAGTACAAAGGGAAATGTATAGCTTGCCTTAAATACTCAAAAACAGAACAATATCCTCTATATATATTAAGAAAGAGAAAAAGATCTCAAATCAATAACCTAAGTCTTACACCTTAAGGAAATAAAAGTAGAATAAACTAAAGCCAAAGACAGAAGAAAGGAAGTAATGATTAGAGCATAAATGAATGAAGAACAGATAATATAGAAAATCAATTAACCAAAAGTTGGCTCGTTAAAAAAATCAACAAAATTTCAAACCTTTACCTAGACTGAGTAGGAAAGAGAGAGTTGAAAATAAGTAAAACTGAATGAAAGTGAAAGAATTACTACCAACCCTCTAGAAATAAAAATAATTATAAGAGAATGTTAGGAACCATTTCACACTAAAAAATTAGATAAACAAGATAAAATGAACCAATTCCTAGAAACATGCAAATTACCAAAATTGATTTAAGAAGAAATAGGGAATCTCAATAGGTCTGTAACAACTAAAAGAGACTGAATCAGTAATCAAAAACCTCCCAAAAGAGACAAGGATCAGTATCAAATCCTAGGATTCCTAGGATCGGGTTATTTCACAGATACATTCCACCAAGTATTTAATGAAGAGTGAACACCAATCCATCAAAAACTCATCTGAAAATAGAGCGCACTTATTAATTCATTCCATGGGGCCAAAATTACTCTGATATCAATGCCAGACAAAGATACCAAAACACTGGAGGAAAAAAAGTCCAATATATCCTGTAACTATAGATGCAAAAATTCTCCAAAAATAGTAGCACACTGAATTCAACATAATTTTAAAATGCTTTTATACCTTGTCCATGTGGGATTTATCCTAAAATATTCAAGGATGGTTCAACATTAAAAAAAAATCGATGTAATACACTGTATAAATAGGACAAAGGAAAATACATGGTCATCTCAATTGACAGAGAAAAGGTATTTGACAAAATCTATTCTTTTTCATGATAAAGATGTTCCTCAAACTAGAAACAGAAATAGACATCCTCAACCTGATAAAGAACTTTTATGGAAAAACCCACAGCTAACATCATACTCAATAGTGAAATCTGAAAGTTTTCCTTTACTTTAAGGAACAAAACAAAAATGCCCACTTTTGCTACTGCTCTTCAACCATGTACTGGAAGTTCTAGCCACAGCAACTGCATGAAAAAAAAAGGAATAAAAGGCATTCAAATTGGAAAAGAAGATATAAATCTAGTTTTACTTGCAGTTGACGTGATTCTATATGTAGAAAATCCCAACTAATCCACACACAAACTATTAGAGCAAATAGATGAATTCAGCAAAGGTGCAGGGTACAGAATCAGGCAAAAGCCAGTTCTGCTTCTTTACTGACAAGGAAATTAAGTAAACAATTTTATTTTCAATAATACCGTAAAATATATAACACTAAGGAATAAATTTAACCTGTTAGGTAGAAGATTTATTTACTGAGCTCTATAAAACATTGCTAAAAGAAATTAAAGAAGACCTAAATAAATAAAAAGACATTACGTGTTTATGAATTCAAAGACTTATTATTGTTAAGATGGCAATACTACCTAAAGGGCTCAAAAGATTCGATACAATCTCTATCACAATTCCAATGCCCTCACCTTTGGGTTCTGCAGAAATGCTAGAGCCAATCCTCAAACTCAAATGGAATTAGAGTCCTGAATAGCCAACACAATACTGAAAAAGAAGAACAAAGTGGAAGACTCACACTTGTTAATCTCAAAACTTCCTACAAAACACTGTGGTACTGGCAGAAGGATATAGATATATAAACCAATGGAAAATAACTGACAAGTCTAGACATAAACCAGTATATGTATGGAAAATTGATTTCAACAAGGATACCAAGACCATTCAATAGAGGGAGCTTAGTATCTTCAACAAATGGTTCTGGCATAACTGGATACTCACATGCAAAAGAATAAAGTTGAACCCTTACCTCATAATGAAAATAAACTAACTGAAAATGGATCAACAACATAAATATAAAACCAATAAATTCTTAAAAGAAAACATACTGGTATGTCTTGGATTTGGGCAATGAATTCTTAGATATGACACCAAAAACATGAGCAATAAAAAAAAATAGATATGATGTACTTTAATAAATTACCAATATTTGTGCATCAAAGAACATTATAAAGAAATTGAAAAGACAATTACAAAACAAGAAAAGCATTTGCAAATTATATACCTGATAAGAGTGTATAATCTAGGATATATAAAGAACACTTACAACTCAAACAAAAAAAAACCCAGAATTTTTAAATGGGCATATGACTTGAATAGAGAGTTCTCCAAGGAAAATCTAAAAATGGTCAACAAGTTCATGAAAAGATATGTAATATTATTAGTCATTGGGGAAATGCAAACCAAAACCACAATGACTTATCACTTCATACTCACTAGGATAGGGAAAAAAAAAAGGAAAATAATAAGTCTTGGCAAGGATGTGAAGTAATTTAGCTCTTGTATATTGCTGGTAGAATCTAAAATTGTACAGCCACAGATGGAATAGTTCCACAGTTCCTAAAAGATTTCAACATAAAATCACTATATGACCCAGAAATTCCAATACTACCAAAAGCAAATACTCAGTCACTTGTTCACACATTTATAGCAGCAGTAGCCAAAAACATGAAAACATGCAAATATTATCTATCAACCAGTGAATAAACAAAAATATGATATGTACTTAGAATGGAATATTATTTAGATATGAAAAGGAATGAAGTACTAAAACATGCTGCAGTGTAGATGAATTTAGAAAACTTTCTAAGTGCAAGAAAGTTGACAGAAAAAATTACATATTTTATAACTTTGTATATGCAACATCCAGAATAGGTAAATCCATAGAAACAGAAAGTAGATTAGTATTTGCCAAGGGATGTGGGGAAGGAGCTATGAAGAATGACTGCTTAGTTGGGTATGAGTGAGTTTTCTTTTGGGTAATAAAAATGTTTTACAACTAGATAGAGGAGGTGGCACAGAATTGTGAGTGTCTTAAATTCCATTAAGTATACAATTTAAAACAGTTAATTTTGTGTTACGCAAATCTCACCTCTATTTTTAAAAGAAGCAAAATTAATGTCAGCAGCTCATAAGCAAATCTCAGAGTTACAAGACAAGCCATTTTTTAGGAGACTCAATGTTATCAGCACTTTTGACGGTACAAACGATGATACTGAATGATAATAAATAAACATCAACAACCCTAAATAAATTTTCAAAAAGCTTCAAAGGTCTCCCTCTGAAAGTTAAGATGCTCTTAAATACCTTAATTCTAGTTTATTTCATACCACACACACAAAGAGACGATAACATTCTTTGTTTAATTATAAAAGTTTGCAAGAGATCTCTGTACTGTTATCAAAATTATTCCAAGTGTTAAAAAACATGGTGTTAGAGTATAATTGGCAGTGTATTTCTTTATATTGTATAAAATCATAGAGCATCGTACAAATTAATGGCATCTGGAGATTAGGGAAAAACAGCAGATATAATGAAAATATCTCTACACTTTCAACAGATGCTTTATATTACAATGAATGGTGACCCATTCATTCACTTACTTCAATTTGTGAATGCACTGTGAATTGTGAGTAAAAATGGTTAAATGTTTCAACATGAGGAATTTGAAAGACATTTGATTTAAAAGGATTTAGAATAGACTTCAAGAAAGATTCATTACCTTTCAAAAGTTCAACATTAAGCGGGAGACACAAGAACCAAAGAACACTATTGCAAACTACAGACTACTGCAGAAGCAGTTATGAGGTGCACGTTGGGTACATAACAATGACTGTCTCTTCCTAAAGAGGCTTTGTAAAAGCAGTAATGTTTAAGTAGCATCTAGTAAGACAGATAGGAGTTTTGAGTTTCTTTCAATAGAATAAGGTAGGAAGGCCATTTCAGGCAGACAAAATGACAAGAACCGAGGGAAAAGGTATAAAGTGATTTATGAAGAGAGTACAAGAGTCACCTCTTTGATAAACAAGTGAGATATAGTAGGACCACAGGAAAGTTTAGACTTTGCCCTGTATCCATGCATGGCACATTATCTTTGCAATCTCTAAGTTCTCTATTTTAAAAAAAACAGTCAAAACAGTCAAAATATTAACGCAATATAATAGCTCC